AGAATAATTTGTCTTTTGTTCGCTGCAGATGGTTCTTGTATGCAATACGTAAAGCACCTAATTAATCAAACTCACTAGGATTTTTTTGTAGAGTTTAAGACCAAACAAAATATACTGAGTAACATTACATCCAGGAAAGTCTGTCATGTTTTTACGCAGGAGGGAACCACAAGGATCCCTTCCTTTAATGCCTCTCTCCTGCACATTTTGGCAAACAGGGCCATCCTATAGGCCAGAAAGTATATATACTTTCAACAAGATGTTCTAGTCTCAGTACTATGCACTATCGTTTTTAATCTCCAGAGGGAAGGGTCTGGTAGATGTTGTTTTATTGTCTGTCTGACAGTATTTTTAAAAAGAAGTGGCGACTCCTAGAGATTTAAACCAGCATAACTGATGTTACTTAGGTGGTAGGATGTGTACAGTGTCATAAAACTATAGGTGACAAAAAGCATTACCGGTACATGATTTTGACATGTTTAATGATTTAGTCTTTAATTTTCATTCTTTTTAGCTAATTACTAAAAAAAAAAGTTATATTAAAGGAACCTCATTTAAATGATAATATTTAGTTTTCCATACACTTGACAATAAAAACTGTGTTTCAACTTTCATTAACTGTGCTTTGTTTACCTCTATGTGAGGGCAATCTGAGAGGTCCTGTCCTTGTTTACCTAATTATCATTTAATGCATGAATCAATCCAAACCATTTACCAGCATCATTATTTACCTTCATAAATGTCTCCTTATCAGCAGTTGTGAGAAGCTCCTGAGAAGGTTATAGTTGTAAAATGAATTTACATCAAAACAAAGTGTCACAGTTAAGTTAGACTCATCTGGGAAATTATACAGCATTTCAAGATGAACCGAAACTGAGTAAAGAGCAGAAAAAATACCCTACAATATATTTTTTCAGCTTTGTGTTAAATGATTTTTCCTACATTGACCACATAATTTCAAGGAGTAAAATGTCTTCTTTTTTTTCAAATGACCAGCATGACAACTCGGATTCAACAGTGGAGAAAACCGAAGAAGAAGATGGGGAGGAATACTATCAGAGCAGGATGCCTATTCATCTGCAGAAGAAGAGGAAATATTTCCAGCTAAAAGAGAGACTTTCAGTGAGTGAGTGCTATGATGAGTGCTGTCTCCTTATTAAATTAAGTCCTTCTGCCATGTGAAGAGGGAAACTTCAGGAATTTTGTCAATTTGTGCTCAAAAGGAAAGCTGTTTATTCAGGCAAAGTAGATTTGGAGTTAAAATTTCAATCAAGTTGCTTTAAATTGAGGGTTTATCGAAGCTTGATCATTATGGCACGGGGTGTATACAGAATATGAGGATTGCAGATGGGTTAAAAAAAACAAGTGCTCATGTCATGATCTGGCCTGTTTGCTCTCCCTTAATTAGTCATTTCTTTCACCTGTCGTTTTTCCCTCCCTGCCTCAATTATCATTTATTCCTCTCACCTGTTTCCTCTGATTTATATTCAGTTCAGCCTGCGCATTCAGTGCCAGATCATTACTTGTCTTTCTGTTAGTCTGTCTGTTCAGTTTTTTTTATTTTTTTAGTTCAAGGTTCATGTCCTGGATCCTAGCAGCCAGTGGAAAGAGGGTTTTTGTATTTGTCTCGTCTCCTGATCGTCCACTGTTCCTCCCCCGCGGAGTCCTCTGGGTTTTTGGCTCATTATGTGGGGAGGTTCAGTTTTTATCCAGTAAGCCTGGTTCCAGGGAGGAGACCAGTTTAAAGTCCTGCTTCGAGTTCCGGTTCCATGTCCTGTCTCGGCTACCCTCCTCCACTGAGCCTGCCTGTCTGCACCTGATCCTGTCTGCTCCTGTGCGTGACCGCCTGGTCATGCTTCTGGTCCCAGTCAGACGCTGAACCCTCCTGGGAGCCTGTGGATGCCTGGAAGTCTGGATCCTGCCACCTGTTTCTGTTCCTGTCTGTTCTGGATCCCTGACCAGGATCGGCTTCCAGCATCACCTCTGGGACTGCAGCACTTTGGGACATTCTAGGACTGGACTGTTAAACCAGGTAAGTGGCCAACGCAGATGATCTTCTATCAGATGATCGTGGTCACTTACCTGTGTTTCTCCCACTACAGAGTGTCTGAGATTGGGCGGTGCCCTCCCGCCTGCAGTGTCCGCGAGCCACAGCTCCGCTTTTGTTTTGTTTTATTTAATAAACGTTTGAACTTTCCTACTGACTGTCTCTCCTTGAATACATGGTCCATCTGTCTTCTGTTCATGACAGCTCACGCTTTTTAACTCAATCCACATTCAATATTATGGTGAATAACCTGTCTGTGCTTATATCTGAGATGTTAAAGGAGTTCATTATTCATATAAGGAACTTGAAACTACCTTACAATCTAGCATCAGGTTGTTTAAAAATCCAAAGCTAGATAAAATTTTTTGTAAACATTACACGTTTTGAAACTCAATCATAGTAGGGAACCTAATCAATGATTATTATCCCAATATTATAATATATATAAAGGGGGCCCAGTCTGAAAATGGGAAGAAAACACATTTGAATTCAGTTTAAAGGTATAGCACATCGAAAAAAGCACAAACTAACAAACATAAATAAAAAAGCAGGATCTTTGCATTTTCACATTTATATACGGTAGTAAATCTTTGACAAATACACAGTCCTGACAAAATTCTGTAATGTAAAAATGAGACCTTGAAATGTGATTCCAAAAGTGTCTAACAGTAATGTTCTGTGTGAATCCACTTAAAAAATAAATCTATTAGTTGAAAAATGTAAGCAATGTAAAAAAACAACAAAAAACAAGAGTGCAAACGTTTGGACAAATGTTTTATACTGTATGTTGGATCTGAACGCATCAATCCATAGTTTCAATAAAATAACACATCCAGACTTGAATAAAATCAAAAAGACTTGGACAACTTTTATTGTCATTTTGTATGCAAAGAGTGTATAAAAAAATGAAATTTCATTTTATACAGCTCTCATGACATTTCCATTTCTGAAAGTGCAGCAGTCATCAAATGTAAACAGTGTGGGAGAAAAAAACATGGTGCAAAAAAACCCATTGATATGGAAGTTCAAAGCCTGATGATGGACCATTAAAACCAAACTAAAGCTGGTAATGCAAAGAGAACATTTAGAAAAAAAATATTTTAACAAACAAGAATAAGGGGGTTGTATGTTCTTTGCGTCTGACTTGGAATGTGCTTAGGAATGGACCTATGTGCTGTTTAAAAATCAGAGCTCCAATTGCAGACTGCTCTAGCAAAGCTGACACTGGATAGGTGTTGAAACTAAGTAAAACTGGTTGCCTGCAATTAAAGCCTTTTTTTGTGGTATTAAGAGTAAAATAAAAATGACGAAAACAAAATAGCATAAATTTAAATACTAGCTATTTTGCAAATTTCTTCTGGGACTATTTTGAGTACTGAAGGAATGCAGGCGCACAATATACAGTTATATTTCAGGACAAAAATATCTATGAAAGAAACTGTGAATTTTATCACTTTATTGATTCTCAGATCAATGACATCAGTATCAAAGATTAAATCAGCAGTTTGTAATAAAATCACCATGATTGTGAGGAAAACTTAGTTTCTTGGCATAAAAAAACAACAAAAAACAGCATATTAAGGAAAGAACTACTTTTCAACTAATGTCAGCAATGGAGGGAATTTGTTACACACTTAAATACTGTGCTTAAAACGTTTAGAATTATACAGATAATCTGTCGATGTGTTGTTATGAGTCATATAAAGTAGGGCTGCAACTATAGATCATTTTGCAAATCGATCTGTCAATTCTTTTTTCAATTGATTAATAATCAAATAGCCAAAGGTTCCTTAAAGAAGAATTTTTAGTATATTAAACCAGGTGAAACTAAACATTTTCCACTTGAGGAGTCCTGGATAGAGCATATTGACAGAAAAAAAATTTTAAATGCAAAATGTATATATATATATACATCTTGCATTTATATATATATATATATATATATTTTTTTATATAATTATAGCTCTAAGTGTGTTGCTCTGTTAGCTAAAAGCATATTTTACAGTCCCTACACTCCAGTTAACGATTAATCGATTACTTAATTGGTTGACAATTATTTAAATAACTGATTAATCACAATTAATCTGATTAATTGTTTCAACCCTAATATAAAGTATGTCAACATTTCTATCAAAAATAAATCTAAGGATACGTGTTATGGTCTCATTTTACCAGAGTGAGGAGGACTGCACTAAAACCACACCCTTTTTACACTTTCTATTTTGAAAAATGTCCTCTATAAATAGAAAAAATAAGTGGAATGGATAGAAGATATCCTTGCTTCCTCTACAGAGAACAAATTTAAATTATGGTAGTCAGGAAGATAGATGAATTATGATTTCTTCAGATGAAAATAAGATTTTTAACAAAAGTTAATACAGTCATGGACAACTGTGGACAAAGATTGTTCCCACAAATCTAAAAATGTTGAAGAACATGGTTGAATCAGTTTAAGAGTGTTTTTAGGGGTGCAGATTTTTATTACTCTTAAAAAATATGTAAGCCCCCCCAGTCGAATCATATATAGGTCAAACTAAAGGTGGTACAATTTTTCATTATTTAACTTTTGCGTCCCAACAGCCGTTATGTGACTGGGGTTTATAAACACATTGGATCTTTTGTGTGCTGTTCTGACAACCTCGCAGTGTGGACAGACTCCACAGCTGCTTGAACAGAACCCATGTTCTAAATAAAACATGTTTTCACTCACACCAGCTCTTCCCTACATCAAGAGTGTGGAAGAATATTTCACCCTAGTTTAGTCTGTCAGGTAGGCTTCCTCGTCACGTTGCTTATAAAAACGCCTCTACAGCTACAATTGCTTATGTACGTAATGTAAATTATACAATGTGCCTGGATTCTTAGGTACAAATGCAAACCTGTGCTAATATAGCAACAATTAGCGTTTGCATTGTGTACCTGTAGACAGTACTCAGGGACTAAATTGCCCTCTTAACCATTTCCGGAAAATCATTACAGCCTTCCTACAAGAAAGAAAATGGAATCCTGAGCTCGCTTGCTGCTAAACCAGTCTGTTTTCATCGTATATTCTCGAAATAGGAATCGTGTCGCCCCGCAGTATAACTAACAACATCACTACCAAGGTAACGGAACTATAATCTGTTAATAAAACAAAGTATTTCGGGTGGTCAACCCAGTTCTTTTAGACTTAGCAAATTTAGCTTGATCTGTGAACGTCACTGGTTGACGTCGTTTGCTAAGTTAGCTAGCGTAAATGCTATGTGGGACTTCATGTTTTTTTAACCCAGTCTCCTGTTTAAGATGGATATTAAAGATAAAGATAAGCTCGTATGTTTATCTGATATAAGTGTTAATTAATTCATCCACAAAATAATAAAGTTAGAGTTAACTGTACCGTTTGTAGCGTACATAGTTAGCCGCTCAGTTACGCCAGTTAGACGCTAACTAGCTTTAATGCTACAGTACCGGGTTGTTTGGTCTTTTTATTATCTTGTTTTACAACGGCATTTACGGATATTAGGTTGGGTTTTGAAATATTTTCTTATGTTGTCACCTTTGAAACTCCTAATCGCCCCTTTTTGTTTCAAAATTACGATATTACCGTTTTAACACAAAGCTAATCAGCAGCTAGGAAACGCAAGTCATAAGATGCCATTTTGTTTTTATCTCGACTTTGACCAACATACTTGCTGTAGACTCGGACTTTAAGAAGCAAAGTTTAGAGAGGGTTTAGTTTATGTCTAACCATTCAGTTGATCTAATTTGACATTATTTTCCTATTAAATCGTATATTGTTTGTGATTAAAAGCCAAGACAGCCCGGTGCTTTTTGAGGCTGGCCTGGCAGTCTGCTTTTTGAACTGAAACGAGTTATAGTTTAACACAGTTTATTCTACGAATCGATTTTGTGATCTCGTAATTTAAGTAAAACATATCTTTGTTTGTTCTTTTGTCAGACAAATTAACTATATATAAATAATGATTTCTTTAAACAGAATTGTTCAGAAGGCTGTATGGCAAGAGGTGATTGATCTATTTTCCAAGTAGTAGAATTGCAGTTAGGTAATTTACAATAATGTAATCTTCTGGAGTGATCTGATTCCATCAGTTTGCAGTAAACCGTGTGAAATGTTGTGACCCAAACATAATGGTAATCACAAAATACAGCTTTGATCCTACGGTTTAGTGGATTTATTTTGATCGAACAACGATCGAAAACGAACAACAATCAGACCAAAACCATAAGAAATATACTCACTTTGCATTTAAGATTACTCATTCACGAGTCGCATAGTTTTGGTACAAATTGGGGGGGGGGGGAATCATAACAAAACATAATTTCTTCACTGATTATTATTCAGTTAATCAATACAGCCCTGCTTACCTCCAGAATCGTACATTATATTGAATTCCAACTGTTATGTCAGTGTCAAATATACAGTATCTACAAGGTTGTGATAGTTGCTGGCCAAAATGCTAAAGCTCCTGGAATGTCAGAACAATTACAATGGAAGACATCACATAGAGGCAGAGGGAAAATCCCAATTACTATAAACTATAATATCCATATGACATCACAATTGTATGCTAATATAACAGAGTATTTTTGCAAGAAGTGCTCTTAAAAAGATTGAATATCTTTTTTATGGATGTCCAAATTTATTAGTATATACAAAAGGGGAAACATTGTTTTTGAATACTGTTTCAAAATTGTACTGTTTGTTCCTCAGAAATAAAAACATATGCTGGAGAATTCAATTGTTAACAAAATCTGGTTTAGCAAATATTAGAAGGGCTTGTTTGCTCCTATCCCAGTAAATACTTTTTTATTGGGGGAAAAAAAAAATGTTAATCTAAAACCCATTTTCCGTCTTTGCAATTTGATCTTCTACGAAAGGCCTGCGTAATTAACCAGAAACTAAAACAACAAAAACAACTAACTTTTTGGTTAATAAAAACAACTTTAAATCAACTAAAAGTATTGATAATTTAGGGCTGTGGGTACTTAAAAGAAGTGGCAAGTTTTAAGTTTTTGCATTACAGTCATATAAAACTAACAGATTTGTTGAGCTGAAAATGATATTTAGGCTGTGTCGATAACTGTTTTGTTTAGCTTACTAGTTACCTAAAAGTAGAGTAGCAAAAAGGTTTCCTTAGCTGTTCCCCCACCCCCACGCTCGAGGGGAACGGCATTCAAAGAATGGAAAGAAATCTAGTTACAGGCCTCACTAATGGAAAGTATTCTTAACAAATTTTTTTTGTTATTTCTTGCAGTAACTGGATCTTGCCCAAAGTTGCAGAGTATCCCATTCATTGTTCTACCCTTCAGAGTCAATGGAGGGGTCTGACAGCGTGGAGCAAGGCAGCGGTGACCAGTCAGAGTCGCAGCGCAGAACGCAGTTGGATCGTCTGGACAGAGAAGAGGCCTTTTATCAGTTCGTCAACAATCTCAGTGAAGAGGATTATCGCCTTATGAGAGACAACAATCTCCTGGGAAATCCAGGTAATAACATGTGTTTAGGTTTTATCCTGCAATAGGATGGTAAAATAAAGTTTGACTGGATTTTTCTTGACAAACAGAAAACCAATACGTCTGAAAAAAATTCTAAAACTTAGTTTTGCCACAGGTATTTTATTTATTTATTTTTTGCCTCTGGATTATCTTAAATCCAGGTTTTGATCTGAACCTGTGGTTTTTAACCAGACTTCACTGGTTTGTTTAGAAAACGAACAAGACAGTGACTGTCACTAGTATGGAACATTTTACAAATGATATAAAGATCAGACATAAACTGGACTAAAACCCTAGATGGTTTAGGAAACACTAGACTGAGTTAAGGATTATATTTTCTTTAATATCTTGTCCATCGTAATGTACCAGGCATTACAGTTTGGAAGATATTAGAAAAACATCAGTGGTTTAATAAAGACCAACTTTAATATAGTGTCTAATTTATGAAGTGTGGACATAAAGACAAAAAAGCAACAGCCAGTCACTACTTAAAATACAGAATATTTTATATGTTACTTGAAAAACCAAGAAATGAATGTTTGTTTTAGGGCTGCAACTAACTATCGATTATTTTTCGATTAATAATCGGCTAGCGAACGTTTCTTTTAAGAACCTTTTTACATTAAACCAGGTGAAAAAAAAAAACTTTCCCACTTGAGGAGTTCTGGATAGAGCATGTTGACAGAAATATATTTTTATCTCAAATGAAAAATGATAATTTCATACTATTTGATACAATTTTGGTATAATTGCTGCTCTAAGTGGGTCGCTCTGTCAGCTAAAGACATGTTTTACAGTCTCTACTCCAGTTAACGATTAATCAATTACTAAATTAGTTGACTATTTAAAAAATCTATTAATCACGATTAATCCGATTAATTGTTTCAGCTCTAGTTTATAAAAAAAAAAAAGTAATTTTTAAAATTTGCCAAATCCCAAAAATCATGAAGACATAATTTATAAAAACATCGAGTTATGACAAATGGGGGAAAAAAAGTGGATATTTAGTCTCGGCTTATCTCAGTTTTATAAGTACGGTCTGTAGTATTCTGCCTTTATGTATTCGATCATTTAATTATCTATTTATTTTTTTCACGTCTGGCTAGTTTCCGCTTTTTCACTATACTTGTGTTTGCTCAAAATGCAACCGCCTGTGGACAGTCGAGGATGTCCAGTCCGTTTCTGTCCCTGGACAGTGGGTGGGGGAATATAAGTTTGCAGCGTTTAGTGGAGGACCAAGGAGGGGGAATTATGTGGGACGGTCGCATGTCCTGGTAAGTCTGGAGGTTTTTTTTAGTATTGTACTATTGTTGCGTCCAACAAAAAAATATGATTTGAGTTCAAAATGACAGGTTTAAAATGAAAAAAATGCTTGACCTATAAGGTTTAACCTTTTCATGTAGCTGTATTTTGGTTTCAGCCTGCTTCTTTTTCTATCCTTACAGTTAGTCTGCTCTTTATCTCTGTTTATAGAGAATAAAGGAGGCATTCTCTTCCACGAATTTACTAAAGAGAAAAAAGTGGGTTATGCCCAAAAAGTAGTAATTAATAAAACATTGGTAATATCTCTTCCAGGTGAGGTAACTGAGGATGAACTCTTCAATAGACTTCAGCAAATCAAAGATGGTCCAGAGCAGCCGATTAACAACACCCCTAGCCCTGAAAATAGTGAAGATCCCGTTGGTATGTTAATAAGATCATTTACTTTTTGAGTGCATGGTGAGTATCTGCATTTCTATGTGATTTACCTTTTGTTTTCTGTCCTCACATAGAAACTCCAGAGAGCTCTGAGGATCCCCAAGGTGGGGACAGCCTGCTAGACTGGCTCAATACAGTGAGGCGGACCGGCAACACGACTAGAACAGGACACCGTGGAAACCAGTCATGGCGGGCTGTGAGCCAGACTAATCCCAACTCTGGTGATTTTCGCTTTAGCCTTGAGATAAGTGTTAACCGCAACCTGGCCGAACAACAGGCAGCCGCTGAGGGAGAGCAGGGGCCTTCAGAGCAGTCCCCAGTGGTCCAAGAAGAAGACGCTGCAGAACCTGAGCCGCTGGTTCCTATGGAGACGGAGACGGTCGAAGAACCAGTTGTAGAAGAAATGGCTGTCGTCGTTCAACCAGAACCGGAACCAGAGCCAGAAGAAACGGCTGTTGAGGAGGTTGCTTCCCAAGAAGCTGTAGAAGAACCTCCCAGTCCAGCTCCCCCTCCAGCTCCAGTTGCAGCTGCACCCTCACCAGAGCCCTCACCGGAGCAACCCCCACCCTGTTCTTCACCAAGGAGGGGACAAAGGAGGCCCCGCAGCTGTAGCCCAGAACCACGCAGGACAAGAGCTCGTTTAGCCAGAAGCCGGTCACCCCTCCGTTTGGATCAGCTTGATGGTCTACTTGGTCCACGACACACCTACGGTCCTCAAAGCCCCAGTTCTTCCACCGACACACCTCCAGCTCCTCAAGTGGAGGGCAGTTCTCGGACTCGTCAACACATTCTCTCTAGGCCGAACCCAGCAGATGACAGCGCTCCACCACCCAGCGTTGAAGCAGAATCGGCCCCTGAGGCCCAGGAGGTCCGGCCTCAGGAAGCAGAGTCTACCGGGAACGAAGGGGGCTCAGCGGAGCGACGTCCCCCTACTATCATGCTCGATCTACAGGTGCGGCGTGTGCGTCCGGGTGAATATCGGCAAAGAGACAGCATCGCCAGCCGTACCCGATCACGCTCGCAGAACTCCAACAACACATTTCTCTACGAGAGTGATCGAGGAGGTTTCCGTAGGACCTTCTCACGCTCAGAGCGTGCTGGAGTGAGGACCTACGTCAGCACCATCCGAATTCCCATTCGCAGGATTTCAGACGCAGGGTTAGGAGAGGCTACATCGATGGCTCTTCAATCTATGATAAGGCAGATTATGACAGGCTTTGGAGAGCTAGGCTACCTCATGGACTCCGACTCAGATTCTTCAGATTCAAACCGCGGTACCGGGACAGCCGCGGACACGGACAGCCTCAACAATTCAGATGCTAGTAATGCTGAGGCGTCCGCCGCTGATGAGCAACCTGCTGCAGCTGCTGCTGCTGCCGGAGCCAGAGAAAGGACAGTTGAGGCGGACGTAGATGAGGGTCTCACCACCGGCCCACAGGGTTCTGCTGGTAGGGCTCGACCCAGACCCCCCATCAGCCTGGAGGAGCCCAGCTCTCTTCCCTTCCTCCGACTCGCTCACTTCTTCCTCCTGAACGACGACGACGATGACCAGCCTCAGGGGCTGACTAAAGAACAGATCGACAACCTCTCTATGCGCAACTTCGGCGAAAGCGACGCCTTGAAGACCTGTAGCGTCTGTATAACGGAATACGCCGAGGGGAACAAGTTACGCAAGCTTCCCTGCTCCCACGAGTACCACGTGCACTGCATAGACCGCTGGCTCTCTGAGAACTCCACCTGCCCCATTTGTCGCAGGGCTGTTCTGGTATCAGCCAACCGGGAGAGCGTGATCTAACTCTTAACAAACTCCAACCTTTTCAATATCTCAACTAATTACACATCCAAGTCATGTACGACGCTTTGAAGAAATGTCTCCACCGTTGAAATATATTGTTTTCTCGTTTTCTGAGTTGATGTTTCATTTGAGGTGCTCAGTCTCTTGACATGCATTCAGACTCTACTTTTGACATTTGCTATTGGCTTCCGGAGCTGAGCAAAAGCAGTGCATGCTGTTTATCAACCTGTAGTGTCCACGAAGTGTCGCCTTGCACCAAGCCCCATGTAAACAAGCAGACCTGTAATCTTGTATGATATCCTTTGATTATAAATGCCGTCGCACACCTGCAGGTAGTTCAAACACTTCAGATATCTCCCTTTTGGTATGAATACTATATAGCACCTCAAGCACAATTCTTAGTTGCAGCAGTTTAAAAGTATTAGCTGTAAATAAGCTTGTAAAGAAAAACATTTTTGATTCTTTGTATCAGTGAATTGGTTTAGGATTGTAAATTATCTCATGGGAATCTGAGTCATTTCAAGTTACAGTTACTTCAAGCTGATTTAGGATGATGGGGGGGTGTGAGTATGAGCTTGCATAGTAAACTTATGTATACATTTGTTGGGTTTGCAGGTAAGGGTTTAACTTGAGCTCATTTCTGTTCGTACAACCAAAACGATGCCCTGTTCTGGAGTTACATTTGCCAATTGTTTTTTTTTTTATTATATATAAAGCATTTTAATTTCTACATGATTTCCTGTTAAAAAAAGTACTGGAAAAGAAAATCTTCCAGCATGGATTCAGATAGATTTCTCCCCTTTGCTATTTTGTCTTACATAACCCAATATTTTTGCTCTTACCTTTGCAAATCGCATGTTTTTCCAATCAACTGAACTATAGAGAATTTTTGAATTTTAGGTTTTCATATTTTAAAGAAACTCATTCTTAGCCCCCTTTGATAACTAGTTTAATTAAATTAATCCTTACAAGATATGAAGAAATATGGCCAGTTTAATAGGATATTAAGAGGCAAAATGTTGGGATGAAACATAGCTGATGTAAAAGGGCAGGATGATGGTAACATCCACCATCGTCATCGACCACAATTTATCATTTAAACTTGGATTTAAAGTTTCTCCTCCTCCACTAATCAATTATTCCCTTACTCTCACTAGCAGTTGCTAGCTATTTCCTTGTGTTTTTCTTGTACTGGGTTAGTAATACAGTTAGACTGGTTTAAAATTGGAACCATTTAAACCTTTGCTGAAACCAGAGTTAATCTCTAAAACATAGCTCACTTCTTTCTGCAAGTTGTTGAATGATATTTATTAATGAATGGCTCAGACTCTCAGACATCGACAGAAAATTAAAAGTTAATTCAACTGTTTCTTGAGCAAATCCTACCATGTGGTGTGCAATATTTGCAAAAATGTATAAGGATAGTAAAACAGACCAAGATTTAAATGTACAATTGTTAAACTGTTTAAATCCTAAATGAAGACGTATAACCCTTTACAGTTTGTGCTGAAGTTGATTTTTATTTAGACGTTCTGTAGGTTTTAATAACTGTTAATAAACAGGAACGTGGGTAAAGGAGCTAAAGGGCATCGCTATTGTTTGCATCCTGTCTCTCTTTCACTGTTTGGTGTCTTAGCCACGATTATTACCTCCCCTCTGTGGGACACAGATGTTTGAATGCAAGATGTTGAATAGCCGAAACATGTAAAAAGGAAAGAGTTTTTTTTTTTTTTTTCTGAGGGTTGAGTTTAAGCCCAACATTGTTCTGTGAAATACCCAGTGCAGGATGTTAACTGGGTGTTTTGATGAAACTAACCGCTGAATTAAAGAAATTATGTTATGAAAGTAATACACCGGAGGGAAGAGTTCTGTGCTCTGCTTGTGGTGTTTTCTGTGTGCTGGTAGATGGAATCACAGATGGTTTTTAAAGATCTACCAATAAAATACCTGATGGTTTCTCCTGCCCCACCAATCACAATAAAGACATGCGACGTTCACCATTAAACAGCAGTGGTAGATGAGTATTCGGCACTAGTATTTGAGTAAAAGTATTGATACTCATAGTCAAATCTTACTCAACTACAAGTAAAAGTTACTCTGTTAAACCTACTCAAGTTAAAATATTGAAATACTCACTTTTGAAAATAGTTAAGTATTCAAAAAAAAAAATTAACTCTCATATCAGTACATTTGTTTACTTTTCAGTTTCATTTTAAAGACATAGCTATTAGAAGCCACATCATGTATTGATATGTAGAACCATCTGCTACAGATTCTACACCACCTTTAAGAACTTCAGCATAAAAATGCCACAAGAAAATGGTAGCTATTGTGATTATTTCTTAAAAACCAACCAAAAAGAAGAGAGGATTTTCTTAATCCTCCACAATTTAATTATGGAATAGAGGTTTAACATGGAATCTATCGCCACAAAGAAACTATAACTCTGGTTCGAGAACTCATCCTACTGAATAACCGGACCACAAGGCAACAAATAACACTAGGGTGACCTAGTGTTATTTGGGAAAACCAGGACACCTTGGGGACTTTTATTGAAAATGCTTTTCAATAAAAGTCAACAGCAATAACTACAATAACAAACGATAATTTCATTCAAAATGTATTTATTAAAAATGCTTAACAATTCCTGTAATGAATGAATAGCACAATGAAAGAAATAATGTTTCATCAAAACATCCCTCACTTAACAATAAAAGTTAACAATAACTCTCAACTCCCAATAACACATGATACTCAGCCTCAGCAATGAACAAAATGTCTATTCTGTAGGCTATTGCAATAAATAAATTAACAAATGAGCTAATTAACAAAAAATATCTCTTGTGTAGCAAAAATTATTCAAAATGTACCAAAAACGAACAAACATATCAATAGACTATCTTTACTTTCGGAGTCCAGGTGGCTTTTCAGATCCCTTGCACCTCCATTGTACACCGAGACATATGTGCCTGCTTTGCACACTGTGCACAAGGCCTCCCGTTTGTCTCGATCCTGTCTGAAAGCGGGGAAACTCTTTTGTAAATCGTTGGTAAACATACATTTGCGCTTTTGCATGTTGTTGGCGTACTGACAGCCACGCAATCTATATTCTGATTAAGAACAGGGCTGCCCGCACTGACGCGGCTCAGGGATTACGTCACACGCAGCGCAGTGCCCTAGTGGCTGTAAATTTAATAGTCCAATTAAGGTAATTTAAGTTCCTCACTTTCTAAAAAAAACCGGGACAGGACGTGAAATACGGACGTTTGGTCACCCTAAATAACACCTTAATAAAATGGATAAAGTACTAATATCTGCACTGAATTTTGTCACATTTGTGGAATGTCGTTAAATCTCAAAAATAGTTGTGTCCAAATTTAGTCCTAAGGGCTGCTGTCTTGCATTCTGAAATAGCATTTCAACATGTAAGACCAAAATAAGCAACTAGCTGCTTCCTTGAAATGTAGTGAAGTAAAAAGTACAATCTTTGAAATTAAATGTAGTGGAGTGAAAGTAATAAGTGCCCGCCCCAAAAATGTATCCAGTAAAGATACTCAATAAAAGTAGTACAGTAATCAAGTAAATTTACTTTCCACAACTGTCAAACAGATAAGATGCAAGGTTTCTGTCAAGGATATTATAATTACTTTGTTTTTTTTTATTTATGTAGTGTAGTTTAGAAACTTGAGGTAACTTAACTTACTAGAGTCCATGCTCAGACTTCTTTCAGTTTGAATCTGGGTGAGTATAGAGAAAGGTTTGTAGAAAGGTGAACCCTTCAAGGTTTTGGCTTTGAAGAAATGTCTTCAAAGCCAAAACCTTGAAGGGTTCACCTACATGTTTAAGGAATAAAACAAACATGTTACATTGATTTAGATTTCATTCACTACATCATTAATCTTTCAATTGACACCTGAATTAAAGTTACTGAGGAAAAGAACAAATAATCTTTGACATCCAGACCTTTTCTGGTCAGAATTATAAACTGGTCTGAGCAGTTTTAAAACGTTTCAAGGTAATGATAAAAGTGACGAGCAAGACAGAAATATATGAATTCATTTTATAAAATCACCTCTATTTAGTGTCTAATTCAAATTTAGATTTAAGGTTATTTTCATACCAACAAGACATTTGTTTCCAATACAGAAAATTAAATTTATCGAAAACCTTTTCAGGTATTTTGCCCTTTAGGTGATAAAGTTCTTGATATTGGATAGTCTCCTTATCTCTTTAATCTGTAGGGCCTCACATAGATTATTTTATTAGATTACAATCTAAACTCTGGCTCGGCCTTTTTAAGCCTTAATTTGACGTCTCAGAAGAAACAATTTGGAACAAGATTAAATCTTTAATCTGGATTTATAATAATCTGGGTCTTAAAGGTAAATGTTTACAGTCTTGGTGTAATGGAATATATGTTGGATTAAGCCAATTTCAGCATGTTGGGTTTGCAAGATTTATAAGAACATTACTAAAATCCCATCAGTTACATTTTATTCATACCACTATCTTTAAAAAGAACATTTTGAAATAAATGTTTTCAAGTATGGAAGTTTGATATGGAAAATACACAATACAGGAACTTTAAGTTGTAGGGAAGCAGCTGTTCCAACCGTTACATTTACGAATTCTCCCAAGGGGTGCACGATTTTACACGAGTAAAAAAAGTGAATGTGATTGGTCGTTTATCAAAGGGGCAGGATTGTTGTGGCGGAAGGTTCGCAAGCACGTTTGATTGTGGCTGGTGTCTCGGAAGCATCTGGCTTAGTGCTAATAGGTTCCCAATGGGAAATTACATTAGGACCAAGTAGAACTTAGAAACAACAATGTCAAGGAACACTATGGACAGCGGAAACATGCAAGAGAGAGAGAGAGTTTTGTGTCGGAGGTCGTGGATGAGTCTCCTGGATGGATGAAGATGTTGTGGAAGAGGACGCCAGGGCGGCAGAAGCTTGGTTTGGTGTAGAAGGCTTATAGCCGTACATGTTTGAGCCCTTGCCTCGCAACGCTGCCAGTTCTGTTAGCTCTACTTCTGCCGAAGACACAGACGTCCATCCCCGTGAACACTGGGACGGAACTCAATGGGAAAGTAAATGATTCTTATTTCAACCGTTGCGTATTTTAGCTGCGACATATGAATCAAGATGCTATGACTGAAAAAAATGGATCGACAGATGACCGTCGATATCTGATTGGCCGAATTTATGTGTACAAGCTGATGTATAACTAACTGGCCTGCATAAGATAAGGGTGAAAATAGATTTTACGACAAATAGAAATTTTCTAACTTTTGGGACAATATGGTCTGATAAAGATTACATTTATATACATGTTTAAGCCAGAATTATTTGAAATTTAAATATGACTTCCCCTACAACTTTAACCTAAGAGGTGACTTTTAATTTGCCATAAATAATCTTAAATTGGCAATTATAAAAACCTTGTGAAGTACAAACTTTCATTTTGACATGAAAGCAAGTAGCTCAACAAAAAGCAAATGTTCATGATTGCTTCAATAAAACAACCTGTTTTGTTCACAATCTTCAAATATTTGCATCCTTGATTTCAATTTTTTCACTTTTCAACCACATCTTTTCATCCTTCCACTAAACCTTCCACTGTCCTAACTGCCAGCTTCTTAAACAGTCATCATTTCTGGCTCAGTCTTCTGGTGATTAATCTTTTGTAATGTTCTGTTTAGAAGACTTTTTTTTTCATAACTATCATTCTTTGTAAAACTGAACTTCCACATTTTCGTAATTTTTAACTGGTAGAATTAATATAGACGCTAAAAATGAGATAGGCCAGTAATGACGGATATAAACCGGACCCAAATGAAGTGGTTTAATGCTTAATAGAAATGATTTGTTGCTATTTTAATGCGGTCTGCCGAGACCAGTTTGGTGGGATCATAGTCCGGATGGAGGTCGGATAAGGAAGTGTTTCGGTCGTTTCTCGGAAAACCTCCACTCAGACCTGAACACTCCAGTAAGGATGGCGCTCCGGGGAGCTACTAGTCGCTTTTTCTTTTTCCAACGGACATATTTTAAGGTAAACTCTCTAATCATCCCTTTGTTTACAAGCGTCCACTGTTAGTCACTACGAGCTTAAAAAAATGGAGACAGATTCATATACTTCCGCGTAGAGCTTGACCTTTTTCTTTGTGTCCTTTTGGAAACATTTAGCTCTAACATTAATATAAAGGCCCTTATTAACAGCTTTGGACCAATAAAATGTCTACCAGTCTCTAGTTGTTCGTATTAAAATGATTTCCGTCTCAATTCGACTAACCGTTGCATGCTTTGACCGCTGGGTGGTGCTGTTTAGTCGATTTTAGAATAGAATAGAAAATCCCTATATTGTCCCGCAATGGGGACATTCAGGTGTTTACAGCAGCAAAAATATTATAGAAAAAATGGTTACACAAATGTGGACCTTTGAAAAATGTATAAGATTAACATAATAATGAAGAGTTAAAAAATAAGCAAATAAAATACTGTACTGTAAAGTGTTTTAACGATATAAAAAATGTGCACCTGGAGACTAAATAACCAATATATTCAATTCAGTGTATTTATATAGCGCCAATTCACAACATGTCATCTCAAAACACTTTACAGTTCACCAGATCATACAGTCAAATTGATTCAAAGTTTTCTATCTAAGGAAAACCAGTTGATTGCATGGATTCATTGACTCTTCAGCAATCCCTCACACTAAGCTTGCTTGTAGCGACAGTGGAGAGGAAAAACTCCCTGTTAACAGGAAGAAACCTCCAGCAGAACCAGGCTCAGAGTGAGCGGCCATCTCCTGAGGCAGACTGGGGTTCAAGGAGACAGAAGCTATGGACATTTTTTACAGTAATGGATATTTGATATTTGAAAATAGCAGCAACACCAGAGATGTGCAAAATGACAGCGCTATGCTATTTAACTGACTAAGATAGAAACTGCAAAAATCAGCATGAATGTAACAACTTATAGGGGTGGTTATAAAGTCCTACAGCTGCTGGGAGGAAGTTTCATTGATAACGCTCACTGGTACAGCAGTCTATCACTGGAGGAACTCTGCAGCTCTGCAACAGCTTCATGCATGAGGTGGGAGGCATTAAGCAACAGAGATAAATTAAAGATGCAGGAAGCTTTTGTTCAACATCCAGCCTGTCAATGTGAGTTTTTTTTTTTTCTTCTGATTTGCTTTTGTTTCACCTGTCTTAGGTCAACCCCACTGGAAGTCACCTGGCTGTTAGATTTAAGGCGACCTGTCCTGTTGAAGTGAGCCATTTGGATCATTTGGTGCTGACAGTAAAAAGCGTGCCAGACACAATCAACTTTTATACATCAGTACTCGGAATGGAGGTCATCACTTTTAAGGTTTGTAATTCTTCAGCAGGTATAGGGAAGATGGATATATTAAACAGAGAAATGGACACAATTACAGAGCAATACGGAAAGAAAACCTCTTAGAGGCTACAAAAGTCCTGAGATGGATACTTCGGTTTATCTTCCAGCATGGCAACAGCTCAACATACTAGCTGCACGCAGAATAGATTCAATCAGTGCCTTGAGATGACATGTGTTGTGAATTGTTGCAATATAAATAAAGAGTATTCAACTGAATTGAATCTGAGCATATTTTAGACATTAGAATTGAATAGAATTTCAATAAAAGATCTGGTAAGACCTTCAGAACTACTACTAATAGATGCTAATTTACTGTAGATTCAGATCCTTTATTGTTATTGTTGATTGGTACAACACAAATGAATGCATATTCTGTAGTTCATTAAAAAAATATTGGAAACTTCAACTGTTTGAATCAACTTGTGTGTGAAATATATAATAATGCAAATGCAATAATGTTTTTTTTTTTTGTTACAACCAGGAAAATTGCTAAAATGTTATCACTCCATGTAATCAACAGGATGGTGCTCTGTTAGGTGGTTCCTAAAGTTGCAACAGACACAACTGCATAACATCCCTCCTGACCACAACCACAAGAATCCAAAATGTTTCAGGAAACTTAGATGATGAGTTTCTAAAGCATCTATTGTCCTTCAGGATTTAAAGAATCAATTCAAAAGGAAGAGAAATGCTATTGGCTTATTCAGAGCATGAAATCTGTGCTGAATTAATAGCAATAGCTTGTTTTCCCCCACTTTGCTTTAATACATTTCATTTATTTTCCATCAGCTATTTTATTTAATTTTTCCCAGGGTGACCGTAAGGCTCTTGGTTTTGGGAAGCAAAAGTTTAACCTTCACCAGTTGGGACAAGAGTTTGAACCAAAGGCAAAACATCCAACCTCAGGCTCTGCAGACCTCTGTCTCATCACTAAAACCCCTTTGACTGTAGTGGCTGACCATCTGAAGGTACTCTCAACACACATAGATGGATAGCTTCCCCTCTGAACTCTTTATGTAACCTTAGTTGCCATAAACTGTGTCGTTTTATCTTTTTTTGCAGGTTTGTGGCGTTGACATTGAAGAGGGTCCCGTACAGAGGAGTGGAGCTGTGGGATCCATCACCTCACTTTACTTCAGGGATCCAGACCACAATCTTATTGAAGTTTCAAACTACAGCCAGTCAAAACCAGAGGGCTCGGCATGAAACTTTAAAAAAAGGAAAAAAGTGCTACTGTATAATCATGAAAGTTTTAAACCAAATTAACTTCACCAGTTATTAACGACTGTTAATATCTGCTATAAAGATAGATTGTAGGCAACATCCACCAGCTCAATATATTTTGTTTGTTGCTTTAGGAAAAAAGTGTAAAAGAAAATAAAATATTTTCCCTTTTACAAAGGACTGTTTTTTTTCCCTCCAGGATAACATTTAGTAAATCTGATTTGCAGGAAATGGTGTATGACTAAAAGCTGTGGATAACAGAGTTAATAGACGTGTACTATGAGGTGTGTTGCTTATGTTACATGTATTACGGGGTAATGATATGTACACACTACAGGTTTATGCTAAAATCTTAAGCTCTTTAGGTCGCTATGTAGTTCCATAATGAAGTATTTGGATTGTTCTTAGATTTATTATGTAGCAGGAGAGAAAATGGATTCAAAAAAAGTCAACTGAAATAGATGTCAGAGTAAAATGTAATTAATAGATGATGATTCTCCAATGTTTAGGAGAGTCACTGCTTGTTTTTTGCATAATTTGAAAATCAATTTTGTGTTAAGTGTATTGGTATGTTCTTATACGTTCAAATTAAGTTTAAAAATCTCAGATTTATCTTTGATCTGGGTTTTGTATTTAATTCCCTGAATGGGTCCTTTATTCATTCAAATTAAAATTCGATAGACGAATAATTAATATATAATTAAAACATCAATGCATCCTCATTTCAATGCCAAATTAAGGAGAAAGGAACCCCAAAGAGGACAAAGGTTCGATTCGATTAATAAACAAGATACAAATTTAAAGGGAAATGTTGACAAAAGAAAAAATTGTTCACAAAAATATTTGAATAAGTAAACAGATTAATAAAAAAAAAATACAACTGAAGACGAGATAAATTGGAAGAATTAAATGTCAATAAAAACAGATTTTTACACCACTGCAACCTGTTGAAACATTTTTAAAACTCAATTGTCAAATCACTAAGCAAACAGAGCAATAGTTGCATTACTAGAATGTGATATTTCTTTATAATAACAAAGAAAAAAAAAAGAAGCTATAAAACGTTCACATCAAGAAGATGTTTTTTTCAGTTTCTAGAAATAACTGCCCTCTTAATTGGCCAATTCCCACCAGGAGTAAAGAAATGGAAAAATGGCCCCCAAAAAAAAAAGGTATAGTAAAGATAAGAAAGGAAGAATATTATATAAAGTACTAAAGTCATTATTAAGTAAAAATATTAATGAGAGAAACAGAAGGGCAGAAGTAATAATGATCAGAGTAAGAGTGGACCATACCTATTTAAATGACAATTTATATTTAATAGGGAGGAAAAATAGTGATAAATGGAAAGGGTGTAGAGAAAAAGAAAATGTAGAACAAGTACTCAATAACTGTAAAACTAAAGAACATAAAAGGGAGACATTGAGAAGAATGGTTGGAAGGACAGGCTAAAAATTGAGCTTATGTTGGGAAATGAAGGAAATATAAAGGATATTTACAGATAAAGGAAATTATTATTTATTCATATTCAGTTTGCAAAATAAAAAAATAGAATTTGATAAATGTAAAGTAATGTTGCTGACACTCGTGTACAGTAGGTGGCGGTATGCACCTTAAACTTGCTTGCGTTCCGCCATAATAGAAAAGACGAGAAGAAGTGTTTCAACCAGATGGTGGCGCTGCTGAGGCAGGTGACTCACGAAGAAGAAGAGCAACAACATGGCCGCCGTGGCGTTTAAATAAAAAAACCCAAAAACGAGCTTAAAAAAAGAGGCGAAATACGGCAGGAATTATACTTGCTACACAATTACTTTAGTCTTATTAACGTAAGTAACCAGTTTGAGATCTCGATAAGAAGTCTGATAAACATTTGTTTTATATTGGGTCGTAAACACGTTAAATTGCAAATTGTTGTGCTCAACGGAAAAAGAAAACCGTGGATTAAACGGAGTTTTTTGTAGATAAATATTTCTTATCGCTCCGTATATAGGTTGTTGAACAGTAGGAGACCCAATCATGACCGAACAGACCAGTGTCAACTCGGAGGGGATCGTGGGTCTGGATGAGCCCAAGAAGATGACCAGAGAGGACTGGAGGAAGAAGAAAGAATTGGAGGAGCAAAGGAAACTCGGAAATGCTCCTGCCGAGGTGGACGAAGAGGGAAAGTAAGTGTTCCTGGGTGTACCTTGATCATGCATAACTTTGTGACTACTAGAGGGTAAAGTGATTGCCACTGATGGTTTCCTCCTCGTTAAAACTGATTCAAATCAAGTCTAAACATCAGTGTTCAAGCACGGTGGTGGAGGGGTAATAACCGGGGCTCCTCAGAAAACTAAAGCTCTTGATTCAAATCTGAGGTTTTTAGCTTAACAGGTAAAACTTGATCAAAGCTGGGTCAACCCAACTTGCGTCTTGATTAGATTTATTTTGTGATTGTAAGAATGTCTCTCCATTAAAAGGAAATAAGTTGTTAACCAGGAATCAAAGCTCTGTGTGGGAATACAAAAATATGTCCACCATCAAGACTAATTAACATAGAGTTCTTGTTTTTGGTGTGCTAAATTCCCTTCTTAGCAACACATCTGTTGCGGCGTATGAACTAAGCTTTTAATTCAGACGCAGCCGGCTAAGACGAGGGGTATGAGCTACTGATGACGCGTCACGCTGAACCATTACACATCACAATGTCCTTTTATGTTCCCATCTCTCGTCCTTAATGCAAAGTTGTACTTACATTGATGAGTCGTACGTGGATACATCAGATACATGATGTTATATAAGACGATCAATAGAAAGTTTCTCCCCCAGCTCACCCAGCAGCCGTAATCCAGGTAAATGTTGAACCTCCATCCAGGTAAATGTTGTGAGCACACAAACTAACACAATGACACCACAGCCACGGTGCCACCCATAGATGCCGGTGACTGTGTCCACCAACGTCAAATGCTCGTGCACATACACCCAGACAGAGGGAGAAAAGTATCAGAAGAGCACAAGATCTACATATAATAATTTATGGCTCCTACAGCACCAGTCATCGTACTTTCATCTGTTGAGCTGCCTGTGTCGATGGACTTCATTAAAATAGTTTGATGCAACCTTTAATGGTGTTTGGAGGACACAGAATTGAATTTTGTTTTATTTTTTTTAACTTAATATAGAGTGAAGAGCTTTCTAATGAAAATAACTCAACTACTTTCTCCTTAAAATGAAATTGGAATGTAATGTTATAACTGTGGGTGCTTTTTCTCTCCAACAGGGACATAAACCCTCACATCCCTCAGTACATCTCATCAGTGCCGTGGTACATCGACCCATCCAAGAGACCCACTCTAAAGCATCAGAGACCACAGGATGAAAAGCAGCAGCAGTTCTCATCCATTGGAGAGTGGTACAAAAGAGGAGTGCAGGAGGCAAGTATGAATCAGGTGCAATCAGATCAGATTGTTCAGTTGATCCAAACTAATTTACTTAATTTGTGTGTTTTGATTTTACAGAATGATATTACCACAAAGTACCGCAAAGGTGCTTGTGAAAACTGTGGTGCTATGACCCATAAGAAAAAAGACTGCATGGAGGTAAAAAAAAATATATGTTTGTTTCCCTCAAAGGTGGAAAAAAAAATATCACAGTTTCTTGTTTATTTCAGATCCTAATTTAATTTGTTTTCTCAGCGACCCAGGAAAGTTGGAGCCAAATTCACCGGAACAGGGATAGCTCCAGATGAACACTCTCAGGTCCAACTGGCGTTGGACTACGATGGAAAGCGGGATCGCTGGAATGGGTATGATCCTGAGGAACATCAGCGCATTGTGGAGGAATACTCTAAAGTAGATTTGGTAAGGAGTGCACGAGCAATAGAACCTTTACCATCTTTCTTTTAATTCAAAAACAGTTTCCTACTAAACTTCAAAGTTAGCCTTTGTCACAGTAACAGCTTCAAATACCGATACAGCACCTTCCCAAGCTATTCATACTCCTTAGCAAAAAATACCAATAAGGTGCATGTTTGCTTCTTTTTTTGTTGTTTTTGTTGCTGTTTTGTGTTTATTAAATAGAAATCTAGATAAAAGTATGTGTTGAACCCCACCAAGGTAACACCTGGGAGAACCAATTTATTGCAATGACAGTTGCAGATCTTTTGAGGATTTATGTCTCTTACCTTTATATATCTCTACAGTAAGATTTAATGGATTCCACCAACAGATGGTAATATTTAAAGGAATAGTACACCCAAAACATGATTAGCCTTCATTTTCT